AAAAAAAAAAAAAAAAAGACGAACGATTCACAAGTAGGTTTAACTCTGTAAAAGTTGCTTGTTGAGTCTCCCTTATCCAAAATGCTTGTGACTACAAATGTTTTGAATTTTGGATTTCTCCAGTTTTTTTTTTTTTTTTTTTTTGGAAATGGAGTCTCGCACCGTCTCCCAGGCCGGAGTGCAGTGGTGCGATCTCGGCTCACTGAAAGCTCCTCTTCCTGGGCTCACGCCATTCTCCTGCCTCAGCCTCCCGGGTAGCTGGACTACAAGTGGCCGCCACCACGCCCGGCTAATGTTTTGTATTTTTAGTAGAGATGGGGTTTCACTGTGTTAGCCAGGATGGTCTCCATCTCCTGACCTTGTGATACGCCCGCCTTGGCCTCCCAAAGTGCTGGGATTACAGGCATGAGCCACCAAGCCTGGCCCAGGATTTAAAATATCTACATATATGTAATGAGCTATTCTTGGGGATGGCGCCCAAGTCTAACTGCAAAATTCATTTACGTTTCCTTCTTTTTTTTTTTTTTTTTGAGACGAAGTCTCGCTCTGTTGCCCAGGCTGGAGTGCAGTGGTGCCATCTCAGCTCACTGCAAGCTCCGCCTCCCAGGTTCACACCATTCTCCTGCCTCAGCCTCCCGAGTAGCTGGGACTACAGGCACCCGCCACCTCGCCCAGCTAGTTTTTTGTATTTTTTTAGTAGAGACGGGGTTTCACTGTGTTAGCCAGGATGGTCTTGATCTCCTGACCTCGTGATCCGCCTGTCTCAGCCTCCCAAAGTGCTGGGATTACAGGCTTGAGCCACCGCGCCCGGCCTCATTTATGTTTCATATACATCTTATACACATAGACTGAAGGTAATTTTATACAATATTTTAAATAATTTTCTGCATGAAACAATGTTTGGTACACTGACCCGTCAGAAAGCAAAGGTGTCTGGTGTGAAATTTTCCACTTGTGGCATTGTGTTGATGCTCAAAAAGTTTTAGACTTTGGAGCCTTTTTTTTTTTTTTCTTTTTTTTGAGAGAGTCTTGCTCTGTTGCCAGACTAGGGTGCAGTGGCATGATCTCGGCTCACTGCAACTTTCGCCTCCTGGGTTCAAGCGATTCTCCTGCCTCAGCCTCCCGAGTACCTGGGACTACAGGAGCCCACCACCATGCCCAGCTATTTTTGTATTTTTAGTAGGGACAGGGTTTCACCATGTTGGCCCGGATGGTCTTGATCTCTTGACCTTGTGATCCACCCGCCTCGGCCTCCCAAAGTGCTGGGATTACAGGCGTGAGCCACCACGCCCGACCTTTTTTTTTGTTCTTTTTTTGAGATAGGGTCTCGCTTTGTCACCCACGCTGGAGTGCAGTGGCAAAATTACGGCTCGCTGCAGCCTTGACCTCCTTGGCTCAAGCGGTCCTACCACCTCAGCACCACTACCCTCCAGTAGCTGGGACTACAGGCATGTGCCACAATGTATGACTAATTTTTAAATTTTTTTTGCAGAGATCGGGTCTTGCTGCGCTGCCCAGGCTAGTTTTGAACTCCTGGGCTCAAGCCTCCTGCTTCAGCCTTCCAAAGTGTTGGGATTACAGGCGTGAGACATTGTGCCCAACTGGATTTTGGAGCATTCTGGATTAGGGATGATTAATTTGTATTGTAAATTAAGTCTATTTTCTCGTTACCTTACATGATTATTTCAGAGATGGTTTATCTTAATTTGATCAATCTTCAATTGCCAAAGGTTCCTAACACTTAGGTTTTCCTTCTCGTACAGCATGCCAAGTAGTCACTAATCTACAAAGAAATACTTAAATGCATTGTTGAGGAGGACTGCTAGTCAAAGGAGCCTCTAAGGAAGCTTTTGCAATATGAAAGAATCACCCTGTCTTACTCTTTAAAGACTTTCCTGCAAGAGAGGCATACCAGACTCAAAATTTCATGTACTGTGCAAAAACATGCCCAGACCTTTGGAGAACTGGTCTTTTATACAAGAATTGAGACCAGGTGCAATGGCTCATGCCTGAACTCCCAGCACTTCAGGAGACCAAGGTGGGAGGATCGCTTGAGGTCAGGAGCTCAAAACCAGCCTGGGCAACATAGCGAGATTCTGTCTCTACAAAAAATTAACAAAACAAAACAAAACAAAAAACAACCAGATGGATGTGGTGACACATGCCCACAGTCTCAGCTACTTGGGAGGCTGAGGCAAGATGATCGCTTATGCCCAGGAGTTCAAGGCTGCACTGATCCATGAGCCATGACTGCACTCCAGCTTGGGTGACAAAGTGAGACCCTATATTTACTGTCTCTAAAAATAAAAACACCAACCTGGCCAACATGGTGAGACCACGTTCCTACTAAAAATACAAAAGAATACCTGGGCATATTGGCAGACGCCTGTAATCCCAGCTACTCTGGTGGCTGAGGCATAAGAATTGGTTGAATCCAGGAGTTAGAGGTTGCAGTGAGCCAAGATTGCACCACTGCACTCCAGCCTGGGCATCAGAGCGAGACTCTGCCTCAAAAATAAACAAACAGATAAAACAAACAAGAATGAAAAAGCTCAGCAAGAATTACGATATTTTAACTGTAAGGTGAATTATTATGTAAAACCTCCAAATCATGTTCATCACACCTTAGATAGTGTATTTTCAGCCTTCCAGAGATGAAAGTAGCCATCCAGAGACACTGCTCCCAATTCCTACAAGAGCAATGAAAACCAGGTTATATTATCATCCATAGCAATTAATTCACGATAATAAGCAGGAGAGGATTCTAAGGTCAGGGTCCTTTACTCCTATCTTGGGATGATTTCAGCAGAGGTGCCAGTATTTATTAGACCATCACTTCACCCTACAGAACACAGCTGAATGGCATATTAAATTGAGGCTGCCAGTAATAACACAGGCACCCATGGTTCAAAAACTCCTCACTATGCCATCATTTCCTCAACATCCTGTTGGAGAGTTAAAGCAGGGCACACACGTGAAGGACAGTTTCATAATATAGTGTGAGAATTTCTGTAAGTGAAGAGTCTAATCTAGGAGAGATGAATCTACCCTTACGCCATAAATATAGATGGGATAGGAGGCTGAGGGAACTACCCTTCAAACTGTGGCCTGATTCAGATTTTGGAGAAGCCTTTCTCTGGCTCTGGGTATATATTCTGACACTGCTTTTTTTTTTTTCGAGACGGAGTCTTCCTCTGTGGCCCAGGCTGGAGTGCAATGGCGCAATCTTGGCTCACTGCAATCTCTGCCTCCCAGGTTCAAGCAATTCTCCTGCCTCAGCCTCCCGAGTAGCTGGGACTACAGGCACATGCCACCATGCCCAGCTAATTTTTTTGTATTTTCAGTAAAGATGAGGTTTTACCATGTTGGCCAGGCTGGTCTCAAACTCTTGACCTTGTGATCTGCCTGCCTCGGCCTCTGAAAGTGTAGGGATTACAGATGTGAGTCACTGCACCTGGCTTTTATGAAAACCTCAGCATCAGATCTGACTCAATAAGGTAAGACTTAGTGGAAATGTGAAGGGAAAGTAGGCAGTTAAGTATACTGGTTAGGTGTGATGGCTCACGCTTATAATCTCAGCACTTTGGGAGGCCAAGGAGAGGGGATCAGCTGAGGTCAGGAGTTCGAGACCAGCCTGGCCAACACGGTGAAACCCCGTCTCTACTAAAAAATACAAAATTAGTCACGCAGAGTGGTGCACGCCTGTAGTCCCAGCTACTTGGGAGGCTGAGGCAGAAGAATTGCTTGAACCTGGGAGGCAGAGGTTGCTGTAAGCTGAGATCGCGCCATTACACTCCTGCCTAGGTGACAAGAGCAAAACACAGTCTCAAAAAAAAAAAAAAAAAGGAATTAATACCAAAGAGAAAAAAAGTGATTGTTTTCAGAAGCAGGTATGAAAATCATGCCCAGAATAGAGAACCTGCAAAGGCATGTGCAAATGAGAGACAGTCAAATCAGGGTGGCCCTAGGGGAATTCTGTGAGGCTGACCCACAAATATAGACCACTCAGAGAAATACTGCAGAGACCAACTGAAGGGGTGGGTTTCAGAGCCTCAGTTATAATTTCTCACCAGCATCACTCAGTCTTTAAGAGGTGATGTCTGGGCTCAGAACCATGCTATGTAGCAAGCACTGATGGGGAAGGAAAAAGGAGTGCATATCCCAAGACAAGCAAGAGGAATAGACTTCAGGGATCCCTACACAAGTTCATACCTTGTTCTTGCTGTTGAAGGCCAGAGCCCGAACCTTGCAGTTGTCAGGGTTTGTGTCTTCTTTGGGGATGTCCTTTAAGGCCTTGTGAGTGATGTGTGCATACACAGGGACCCGCGACACATTGTGTCTTGCATCACTTTTGGTCAAAACATCATCTGTCACCTCCCAGAGTCCCATAGAACCATCGCGTGAGCCTGCAGGGCCAGGAGAACACGGATGTCAGATACGCCCACCCCTCTATGGGAAATCCCACAGATGCCAAAGTGGGCTTTCATAGTCTAGCTGTGCATCATCCTCATACGTGCTGAAGCTTGGCCAGATGGCCCACCCTGAACACAGAGCAGTAGGCATTTTTAATAGCTACGCTAAGAGAATTATTCACCTAAGGTCTAGGCATTAAAACATTTAAGTTTGACACGCTTGGTGAAATTTATTTTTTATTATTTTTTGAGAGAGTCTCGCTTCGTCGCCCAGGCTGGAGTGCAGTGGTGCGATCTCAGCTCACTGCAACCTCCGTCTCCTGGGTTCAAGCGATTCCCACGCCTCACCCGCCCGCTCCATGCCTGGCTATTTTTTTTGTATTTTTAGTAGAGATGGGGTTTAACCATGTTGCCCAAGCTGGTCTTGAACTCCTGAGCTCCAGTGATCAGCCTGCCTCGGCCTCCCAAAGTGCTAGGATTACAGGCATGAGCCACCACACCCGGGTGGCTCATGGGGGGACAGTTTCACTCTTGTTGCCCAGGCTGGAGTGCAATGGTGTGATCCTGGCTCACCGCAACTTTCGCCTACTGGGTTCAAGCGATTCTCCTGCCTCAGCCTTCTGAGTAGCTGGGATTACAGGCATGTGTCACTACGCCCGGCTAATTTTGTATTTTTAGTAGAGACAGGGTTTCTCCATGTTGGTCAGGCTGGTCTTGAACTCCAGACCTCAGGTGATCCGCCCACCTCAGCCTCCCAAAGTCCAGGGATTACAGGTGTGAGCCACTGCGCCCGGCCCACAATCCTTTTATTAAGAATGACTGTTCTAGACTATTCTGTTCTATTAAGAATTACCATTCACACCTGTAATCCCAGCACCTTGGGAGGCTGAGGTAGGTGGACCACCTGAGCTCAAGAGTTTGAGACCAGCCTGAGCAACATGGCAAAACCCCATCTCTACCAAAAATACAAAAAATTAGCCAGGCGTGGTGGTGCACGCCTGTGGTGCCAGCTACTCAGGAGGCTGAGCTGGGAGGATAGCTTGAGCCTGGGAAGCAGAAGTTGCAGTGAGCTGAGATTGTGCCACTGACTCCAACCTGGGTGACAGAGTGAGACCCCATCTCAAAAAAAAAAAAAAAAAAAAAAGAGATAATGATGACTGTTCTAGGCTGGGTACAGTGGTATATGCCTTTAATCCCAGCACTCTGGGAGGCCGGGTAACATGGCAAAACCCTGTCTCTACAGAAAATACAAAATTAGCCAGGCGTGGTGGCACAAACCTGTAGTCCCAGCTACCCAGAAGGCTGACGTGGGAGGGTCACTGGAGCCTGGAGAGGTCAAGGATGCAGTGAGCTGGGGTCACACCACCACTCTGGGCAACAGAGTTAAGACCCCACCTCCAAATTAAAAAAAAAAGAAAAAAAAGAAAAAGAAATGACTGTTCTACATAAATAAAATGAATGCTTAAAAAGATAAATCACTTCTCTTAGCAAACAATAATAAAGCTTAAAAAACCAGGCCAGGCACAGTGGCTCATGCCTGTAACCCCAGCACTTTGGGAGGCTGAGGTAGGCAGATAACGAGGTCAGGAGTTTGAGATCAGCCTGACCAACATGGTGAAACTCCGTCTCTACTAAAAACACAAAAATTAGTGGAGCGTGCGCCTATAATCCCAGCTACTCAGGAGGCTGAGGCAGGAGAATCACTTGAACCTGGGAGACGGAAGTTGCAGTGAGCTAAGATCACACCACTGCACTCCAGCCTGGATGACAGAGACTCCGTCTCAAAATAACAACAACAACAACAACAAAAAACAAGAACACTTTTCTGTGAATTGAGCCCTGAATACACTGTTGGTGGCAAGCTAAAATGGTACCTTTCTAGAGTACAACTGAGCAACCTGCAGCAAGGAAATTTTATCTTCCTGGCCAGGTGCAGTGGCTCACGCCTGTAACCCCAACACTTTGGGAGGCTTAGGCAGGCAGATCGCTTGAGGCCAGGAGGTCGAGACCAGCCTGGGCAAAATGTCGAAACACCATGAGTACAAAAAAATACAAAAAACTAGCCAGGTGTGGTGGCACATGCCTGTAGTCCCAGCTACTCAGGGATGGGGGTGGGGTGCTGAGACAGGAGGATTGTTTGAGACTGGGAGGTTAAGGCTGCAGTGAGCCATGATCACGTCACTGCACTCCATCCTGGGTGACAGAGCAAGACCTTAACTCCAAAAAAAAAAAAAAAAAAAAAAGGAGAAACAACAGCTGGGCGCAGTGGCTCACGCCTGTAATCCCAGCACTTTGGGAGGCTGAGGTGGGTGGATCACAAGGTCAGGAGTTCGAGATCAGCCTGAAACATGGTGTAAGCCATCTCTACTAAAAAGACAAACATCAGCTGGGCGTGGTGGCGTGCGCCTGTAGTCCCAGCTACTCAGAAGGCTGAGGCAGGAGAATCGCTTGAACCTGGGAGGCGGAGGTTGCAGTGAGCTAAGACATGGCCACTGCACTCCAGCTGGGCGACAGAAGACTCTGTCTCAAAAAAAAAGAAGAACAGCCAGGCGTGGTGGCTCACGCCTGTAATCCCAACACTTTGGGAGGCCGAGACAGGCGGATCACGAGGTCAGGAGATCGAGACCATCCTGGCTGACATGGTGAAACCCCGTCTCTACTAAAAATACAAAAATCAGCCGGGCATGGTGGTGGGCACCTATAGTCCCAGCTACACGGGCGGCTGAGGCAGGAGAATGGCGTGAACCCGGGAGGCGGAGCTCGCAGTGAGTGGAGATCGCGCCACTGCACTCCAGCCTGAGTGACAGAGCGAGACTCCGTCTCAAAAAAAAAAAAAAAAAAAAAAAAAAGAGGAACAAACAAAAACAAAAAGTAAGTTTATATTCCCATTCAGAAACAATCCACCATCACAACACCCATATACAAAGATGTTTATTCAGAACACTCACTATGTTCAACAATAGGGTTATATTATATCCATAAAACGGAGTACCAAGAAATTATGTTTTAGGCCAGGCATAGTGGCTCATGCCTGTAATCCCAGCACTTTGAGAGGCTGAAGTGGGAGGACTGCTTGAGCCTAGGAGTTCGAGAGCAGCCTGGGCAACAAAGTAAGACCCAGTCTCTATAAAAAATAGAAATAATTAACCGGGTGTGGTGATGTGTGCTTATAGTCCCAGCTACTTGAGGGGATCTCTTAATCCTGGGAGTTCGAGGTTGCAGTGAGCAATAATCACACTACCGCACTCCTGCCTAGGTAACAGAGTGAGACCCTGTCTCAACAACAACAACAACAACGTGTTTTAAAGTTATTTTTCCAGTAAAGTTATTTGCCAATTCTCCTTTGAGACCAAGAAGGTGCCCTTCCCACACTGCTAATCTCCTGAACACTTCATAGAAAAAATATCTAGGCCGGGTGCAGTGGCTCACGCCTGAAATTCCAGCACTTTGGGAGACTGACACAGGCAGATCACTTGAAGTCAGGAGTTTGAGACCAGCCTGGTCAACATGGTGAAAGTCTGTCTCTACTAAAAATACAAAAATTAGCCAGGCACAGTGGCACGCACCTGTAGTCCCAGCTACTTGGGAGGCCGAGGCAAGAGAAGTGTTTGAACCTGGGAGGCAGAGGTTGCGGTGAGCCAAGATGCCGCCACTGCACTCCAGCCTGGGTGACAGAGCGAGACTTGGTCTCAAAAATTAAAAAAAAGAAAAAATCATCTAAAATGACAGACATATCAATTCAAAGTAGAATGCTAATTATGTGAAATTAGAAAAGCCCACAGAGACAAGGGCACATGTGGAGAACTAGACATGGTTTGTTATGCTGGATTGTGGAGTGCTAGCATGGAAGCTATGAGAGATAAAGTTGGAAAGGTGGGCGTGGGCCTTGTATGCTGTGCTATAAAATCTGTTTTTCATCTTAGAGATACTAGAAAGTCTCTCAAAGATTTGAGCATCAGAGTGAGAAAATTAGGTAACTGTTTCAGAAGATTACTTTGTGTACAGTGAGATCTCATTTACCCCATCAAAGTTTTATTACGAAAATTTTAAAGTGTAATGATATGAGGCCAGGAGCAGTGGCTCACGCCTGTAATCCCAGCACTTTGGGAGGCCGAGGCAGGCAGATCACCTGAGGTCAGGCATTCAAGACCAGCCTGGCCAACATGGCAAAACCTCATCTCTACTAAAAAACACAAAAATTACCAGGCGTGGTGGTGGGCACCTGTAATCCCAGCTACTCAGGAGGCTGAGGCAGGGAGAAGTGCTTGGACCCAGGAGGCAGAGGTTGCAGTGAGCCGAGATTGCACCACTGCACTTCAGCCCAGGCGACACAGCAAGACTCCATCTCCAAAAAAAAAAAAAAAAAAAAAAAAAAAGAATTTCACAAAGAATTCTATATATACATCTTCTGAATGATCTCATATTAATCAACCAAAACACATGGGCCAGGCATGGTGGCTTACGCCTGTAATCCCAGCATTTTCGGAGGCCGAGGCAGACAAATCACTGAGGTCAGGAGTTTGAGACCAGCCTGGCCAATATGGTGAAACCCCATCTCTACTAAAAATAGAAAAATTAGCCTGGCGTGGTGGTGGGCACCTGTAATCCCAGCTACTCAGGAGGCTGAGGCAGGAGAATCGCTTGAACCTGGGAAGTGGAGGTTGTGGTGAGCCGAGGTCGTGCTACTGCACTCCAGCCTGGAAGACAGAGTGAGACTCTGTATTAAAAAAAAAAAAAAAAATCGTACTAAGGCTGGGTGCAGTGGCTCATGCCTGTATAATCTAAGCACTTTGGCTGGGCACGGTGGCTCATGCCTGTAGTCTCAGCACTTTGGGAGGCCGAGGCGGGTGGATTACAAGGTCAGGAGATCGAGACCATGGTGAAACCCTGTCTCTACTAAAAATACAAAAAATTAGCTGGGTACGGAGGTGGGTGCCTGTAGTCCCAGCTACTTGGGAGGCTGAGGCAGGAGAATGGCGTGAACCCGGGAGGTGGAGCTTGCAGTGAGCCGAGATTGCGCTACTGCACTCCAGCCTGGGCAACAGAGCAAGACCTTGTGTCTAAAAGAAAAAAGGTACTGAAATAAAAGACTAGCAAGTTATATTTTAAAATGTCAACAGTGGTTATTACTAGCTGGGTGTGATGGTGTGTGCCTATAGTCCCAGCTACCTGGGAGCCTGAGGCAGAAGGGTCACTTGAACCCAAAAGCTCAAGGATGCAGTAAGCTAGAATCATGCCACTGTAAACAAGCCTGGGTGACAAGATGAGACACTGTCTCAAAAAGAAAACAAAACAATCCACCAAAAAAAAGTGGTTATATCTGGATAGAGATCTTCTGGGTGGTCCTTACTTCCTTTTTTTTAATCTATCTATCTATCCTTTTTTTTTTTTTTTTTTTTGAGATGGAGTCTCATGCTGTCGCTCAGGTTGGAGTGCAGTGGCGCCATCTCAGCTCACTGCAACCTCTGCCTGCTGGGTTCAAGCAATTCTCCTGCCTCAGTCTCCTGAGTAGCTGGGACTACAAGCACCCATGACCACACTCAGCTAATTTTTTGCACTTTTAGTAGAGACACGGTTTCACCATGCTGGCTAGCCTGGTCTCAAACTCCTGACCTTGTAATCCACCCACCCTAGCCTCCCAAAGTGCTGGGATTACAGGTATGAGCCACCATGCCCAGGCTATATTTTAAAATTTTCTTTCTTTTTTTTTTTTAAGACAGAGTCTTGCTCTGTGCCCAGGCTGGAGTACAGTGGCACGATCTCAGCTTACTGCAAGCTCTGCCTCCCAGGTTCACACCATTCTCCTGCCTCAGTACCCCATGTAGCTGGGAATACAAGTGCCCGCCACCACACCCAGCTCATTTTTTGAATATTTAGTAAAGACGGGGTTTCACCGTGTTAGCCAGCATGGTCTCAATCTCCTGACTTTGTGATCCACCCACCTCGGCCTCCCGAAGTGCTGAGATTACAGGCGTGAGCCACTGTGCCCAGCCTATTTTAAAATTTTCTTACAATAAATGTGTATCACTTTTACACTAAATAAAAAAATTATTATTCTGTAGGGTCACCCTCTGTCATGTAGGCTGGAGTGCAGTGGCATGATCACAGCCTGATGCAGCCTGGATCTCCTGGGCTCAAGCAATCCTCCTGCCTCAACCTTCTGAGTATCTGGGACAACAGGTATGCAGTACCATACTTAGCCAATTAAAAAAAAAAATTGTAGAGATGGGGTCTCATATGTTGTCCAGGCTGGTCTTGAATTCTTGGGCTCAAGTGATCCACCCACCTCAGCCTCCCAAAGTCCTGGGATTATAGGTGTGAGTCCCCGCACCCAGCCGGGCTATTTCCTATCACACTACTATCCCTTTTCAATCTCTAGCACCCAATCCCTGCCACATCAAAAGCTCCTTGTAAAAGGGCAACTTTACCCGACACTGCCATAGTGTCGCTGATCCATGCGATGGAAAAGATCCAGTCCTTGTGTCCATCCTTGGAGAGCAGGGAGTAACAGGTACAGGGAGGAAAACAAGAAATTAGTAAAATAAGTATTGTAATAAACTCTCTAAAGCAGCATACAAGTCAGACTGAAAATATTTTTGTAAAAATTACAACTCTGATCTCTGGTGGTCTCAACCCATAGAGAATGATCAATCTTTATCTTCTATCTTGAGAAGCTCAAAGTTGGAATGAAATTGGCACTACTGTGGGTAGTGGACACATAGCTCTTGCCTTCTACCTCTGGGTCCCATCTTCTATCTGGAACTTTCTTCCTCCAGACATCTAGATATCTACATGGCTTGAACCCTCATTTCTTTTAAGTCTCCCTGCTCCAGTATCATCCTATCAATGAAACTTTATCTTCTGATACAGCATCCTCCACCTCACTCTCAGTCCCTTTATGCTGCCTTTATTCTTCTCCATGGCACTTACCACACTCTGACATATTACTGGTAATTATTAGTTTATATGGCTTATATTTTGGTTTATATGTCACCCTCCACTAGAATGTAGGCTTCAAGAGGACAGGGGCTTTATCTGTTCTGTTCACTGCTGTGTCTCAAACCATGTCTCAAACAATGCCTAGCCATGGAAGACTGAAAAAATGCCTGGCGAATAAATGGATGATTTAGTAAACTCTGCTACTCTCTGACTATGGGCAGTGGGAAGTATGTGGACACTATGGATTCAAACGCAACCCAATAGTGTTGGTCCCTGAGGTGTGCTGCTTGCCCCTTTATCAAACATACACTGTGCCCTATGGGGAGTCCAGTCCCCACTCTGGGCTGCTGAGAGGAGGGTCCATGTTAACCACTGAGACCCGTTTAAAAACAAGGTTCCCTCCAACTACGACTACTGGGTAAACTTACATCTCCTACACACACAGGATCCAGTGTAGGTAGTCGATAGATGGCAAGACTGTTGGGGTTGTCTCCTCCAGTGGCTAGCAGTGTTCTAGAAGGATTCAGCTCGATAGCATGGATACCACAGCCCTGCTGGGTCACACCTCCAGGTTCCCGGTCTTTCAGAATTGGGATCTTGGTGATCTGGCTTGTCTGGACATCTACTACAAATAGCTACGAGAAGAAATAGATACAGAAGCTGAACATAGTTCCGATTTAACGTGGCCAATACAGGGTATAAACATCCTTTTGTTCAACTGTTCATCAACATTTAATTAACATCTACTACATGTTAGACCCTAGGAATTATTAAAGGCATGGTCAGGACTACTAATGAAATGAAACATTAAATAAGTCAATATAACACAGTATTAGAGATAGGAATAATATGCTACATGAACACAGATTAGGAAGTAGTAAGTTCTGCCTGGGATTCAGAGGTTTCCAAGAGGCCTTGTATTAGAGCGAGACCAACAGTTTTCTGTCGGTTTGGGCATATTTTATACATTGAATCCTCACCTAACCATGCACAGAAACTTTTAAACAAAACACAATTCCCAGAACACATCATGGCTACTAATATACCTATTAATATTACTAAGTTTTCTGGAATGACCTGAGACATACAACATGGAAGAATTATTAATATCTCATGGCTGTTCTCTATACACACACATCCCATTCAGTTCTATTCCTCCCTGCCTTTGCTCTTGCTACTACCTCTGCCTGAAAGGCTCTCTTCCACCTCTTTACCCTCCAAGATTCAACTTAGACACATGCTTTATGGAAAAATCAGTCTTAGAGAAAGTACAGCCCTTATAAGAGTCAAACTCTTCACATGATTCAACAGTTCATTCCTTCAGACACTCAATTCTTTGCCAGTACTAAGTGTTATGAACACAGCTATGAACGAGAGAAATAATATCTGCCCTAATATATATACCTTATAGCCTAAGAGGCTGAAATAAAATCCTATCAGCAATTCTCATGGTGAAGCCAAACATGTCAAACCTTTACATAAATAAACCTGCTGCTTGCACAGAAGATCTATGAAAGCAGAAACTAGGTGAGTCTTAAGTTTAAAATATAAAAAGGGCCGGGCGCAGTGGCTCATGCCTGTAATGCCAGCACTTTAGGAGGCTGAGGCGGGCGGATCACCAGAGGTTGAGAGTTTGAGATCAGCCAGGCTAACATGGTGAAAACCCTACTAAAAATACAAAATTAACTGGGTATGGTGGCACACGCCTGTAATCCCAGCTACTCGGAAGGCTGAGGCAGAAGAATCACTTGAACCCAGGAGGCGGAGGCTGCAGTGAGCCAGGATCGAGCCACTGCACTCCAGCCTAGGCAACAGAGAGAGACTCGGTCTCAAAAACACACACACACACACACACACATATATATGAATGAGGTGGACAAGGTGTCAAGTGCCTGTAGTCCCAACTACTTAGCTACTCAGGAGGCTGAGGCATAAGGATCACAAATTGAGCCCAGCCTGGGCAAAACAGCAAGACCCTGTCTCGAACAAATAAATACATATATGTATTTTATGTATATGTTTTTATATACATATGGATTTTTTTTCACTAGGAAAATGGTTTCATTGAAGGGTCTTTAGAGCTATGATATCAAGACATGAAGAACAAGAAGTGCACACACAGACATGGCTATCACAGAACAGATTGTGGGTGAATAAAAAGTTCACACCACTTCTTCCCTTTACCCAGTAACAGAAGGCTCTAGGCCACCTCCTCACAGGCCCACTCTTCAGACTCTCTCTCCTCTTCGGCTGTGGTATCCTGTACATGGATACGTTCATGTTGCTTGCAGCCTCAGGGAACTCCATCTTGTCCATGCCACTGCCCATGTACTAGTGCAGGAAGGTTTTGTGCCAGAACATGACTGTGAACTGTTCGGAAATGTACCTGAACAGCTCCTAGATGGCTGTATTGTTGCCAATGACAGTGGCAGCCATCTTTGGCCCCCAGGGTAGGATGTTACAGACAGCTGTTTTCATCTTGTGGGGAATTCAACCGACAAAGTAGCTGCTGTCCTTGTTTTGGAGATTAAGCATTTACTTAACCACCTCTTCCATGCACGTATGGTCCCTGAACATGGCAGCTGCTAAGCAACAGCCACAGAGGGGGGGTCCCAGGCAGCCATCACATTCTTGGCATCAAACATCCGCTGGATTGGCACGGGCACTATTGGGGCTCAGTACTGCTGGCTGTCCTGGATGGTCGGCAGGGCAAAGCCAGACATGAATAAGTGCAAGTGGGGAATAGGGCCATGTTCATGGCCATTAAGCTCGCCCTGGAAGCTCAGGCAGGTGGTGACCCCACTCACAGTGTAGACACCAGGTGGCTCAGGTCACTGTAGGTGGGTGTGGGCAGCTTTAGGGTTTGGAAGCAGATGTCTTAGAGAGCTTCCTTATCAATGCAAAAGGTCTCGTCTGTGTTTTCTGTGAGTTGGTGGACTAAGAGGGTGACACTGTAGGGCTCTAGCAACATGTCCAACACCTTGGGCGGGGGCATTACACTGGATACACAAATATTTAAATTATATATAATATACACTTTATATATTTAAATATATATTATATGTATTTATTAGAGACAGAAAGACAGACAGAGAGAGGAGTAGCTAGAAGAGTGTCAGACAGAGACTGAGTGGGAGCAGGGGGAAGAAGGGGACAAACCACTTCCAAAATGGCAACTACCTGAGAGCAGCAGACTATCTCTGCCTAACTGGCATCATTACTGATGCATCCCACAAGCATGTGAAACTCAATATGCCCAAAACAAATCACCTTGCTCCTCAAATTGCTCACTTTCCCAACGCCACCACTACCTACCCTGTCACTCAAGTGTGGATTTTATCCTAGATTACTACTTCTCCCTCATTTCCATCATCCTAGTCCTGCCAAACCTATCTCCTAAATATTCTTACAGCTGGCTCCTTCCTCTGCTTCCTCACTCATCACTTCTCCTTGGACAACCACAATTAGTCTTTGTGCCTTCAGGCAACACCACTATCAAAATTAATCTATTATAAGCAGATCCATCTTCCTAAAAATGGAAATTTTCCCATGCCAGTCCCCAACTAAAAAACATCCCATGACTCCCTGTCACCTAAATCTGAGATACTTAGCATGGCATTAAGACTCTCCTCATGGCCAGACTTTGGAAGGCCAAGGAAGAAGGATTACTTTAGCCCAGGAGTTTATGACGAGCTCAGGCAGCACAGTGAGAACTTGTCTCTACAAAAAATCAAAAAATAAGATGGGAGGATTACTTTAAGCCCAGAAGGTCAAGGCTGCAGTGAGCCATGATGGTGCCACTGCTCTCCCACCTGGGTGACAGCGCAAGATCCTGCTTCAAAAAAACAAAACCAAACCAAGAGTCTCCTCAGTCCAGCCCCTACTATCTTCACGTCTTGCCATGGACTTCAAACTCTAGAAATAATTGGTTATAAATATCATACATGAAAAATTCTTCAATGAAATATAATTATTTTGTTCCATGCTCATGCTGTTCACAATGCCAGAAATGCTTCTCCTACTCTTTTCTGTTTTTTTTTTTTTTTTTTTTTTTGAGACCAAGTCTTGCTCTGTCACCCAGGCTGGAGTGCAGTGGCGTGATCTTGGCTCACTGCGACCTCTACCTCCTGGGTTCAAGCAATTCTCCTGCCTCAGCCCTCCAAGCAGCTGGGACTACAGGCGTGCACCACCACGCCCAGCTAATTTTTGTATTTTTACTAAACACGGGGTTTCACCATATTGGCCAGGCTGATCTCGAACTCCTGACCTCGTGATCTACCCGCCTCAGCCTCCCAAAGTGCTAGCATTACAGGCGTGAGCCACCACACCCAGCCTCTCCTACTCTTTTACCTGGCCAGCGTGTACTTATCTTTCATGATTCAGTTCAGACACGTCCTCTTGGAATATTCTCTAAATGTCCAGGCTGATTAAGTGCCTCTCTTGTAGATATCCCTCTACCCACAACACTTAGACCATGTCACACTGATTTAAAATATTACTTATTTGTCTTCCTCATAAAGCTATTAACTCTCTCCCAATTCTAAGTGCAGAGAATTTATCTTATTTGATCCTACAATCTTGCCCCAGCTACTACTTAAGCATTTACAACAGTCACCTTTCAGAAGGCCTGCCCAACTAACGTAGTAGGCCCCCACATCCCTGTGAGGGTGAGGCTCTGTAGCTGTTTGTTTGATATAAGCCTAGACCCCTTGATCACAGCACAGTCTAGAGGGAGTTTCAGGAGAATCAGTCCAAAGGCTAGACTGGACTAGGCCATTCAGATTCTTTAGGGAATGTATAACTGGCTGGTAGTACTAGACCAAACTTCCTGGGTGGCCACTTTTTACCAAAGCCAGTCCTCGGAGAAAACTTAAGACATGAAGCACGGGCCAGGCACAGTAGCTCATGCCTGTAATCCCAGCACTTAGGGAGGCTGAGGCAGGCAGATCACTTGAGGTCAGGAGTTCAAGATTAGCCTGGCGAACATAGTGAAACCCCATCTCTCTTAAAAATACAAAAAAAAATTAGCTGGACGTGTTGGCGGGCGCCTGTAATCCCAGCTACTCAGGAGGCTGAGACAGGAGAATCGCTTGAACCCGGGAGGCAGAGGTTGCAGTGAGCCAAGATAGTGCCACCGCACTCCAGTCTGGCGACAGAGCAAGACCTTGCCTTTAAAAAACAAAACAAAACAACAAAAAACTATATATATACACACATATGGCTTGTAATACCACTTTTATGAACTTACACTGAGGAAATAATGATGGGTGAACAGTTTGAACTACTGTACATCTTTTTAAATTATAGAGACAGGGTCCCACTATGTTGCCCAGGCTGTAATAAAATCCTTCTGGACTTAGGCAATCCTCCCGCCTTAGCCTCCCAAAGGGCTGGGATTACAGACATGAGCCATCATACCTTGCCACTACATACCTTTAACAGCGATAAGGTAGTTCACTGCATGCATATACTAACATTAATTGAATGAACTCCCTATTATTGAACACTTACACCATGTCCAAATTTTAGTAATACAAAACATGGCAATGAACATTCTCTTATTGAAATCCAGGGCCTCCTCTTAGTACTGTGGCATAAGGAGGAAAAAAATTAAATAAATCCAGGGCTGGGTGCG